TTTAAATCCCTCCGAGGATGGGGACCCTGTCCCGCCCTGGGAAGCCTGTTCCAGGGTTTGACAACTCTTTCCATGAAAACATTTTTCCTCATTTCCCATATAAACCTCCCCTGGCCTGACTTGGGGCCGTTTCCTCTTGCCCTATCACTTGTTACCAGGGGGAAGAGACCAAGCTGTTCAGCTCTACGGAGGGAACACAGATCATGATCCTGATGGTGAGATCCTCACTCCAGAGGGTGAGTCTGTCTTGGATAAGGTTCTCTGAGATGGGTTGGATTGTCCTTTGAGAGTGTCTGGTTAGCTCCACTGATTGACTTATGTAGGTGACCAACACTGACTTGGGCAACTAATTTTGAGATGGCTGCAGTTACATGAGATGTGAGTAGATACCTGCAAGCAAACAACCTGTGTCATAAATGAAATTGCAGAAAGAGAGAAAGGATCAATTTAATTCTTCTTGCTCATGCTCGGAAATTCTTCTGAGCCACCTAGCTTGGTTCTTTCAAGATCTCTCCTTTTGTCAAGCCCCACATCTAAAAAACAGTTGAAGAATATATATTTTTTTAATCGTGCTGTTCTGTGTTAACTTTACTGCTGTACACTGAGGTATAACTTTAATTTACAGAGCCTAAACCAAATAAAAAGATTTGTACTCTTTTCTTGAAATCACCTTGTTTTCTCATGAGTTATTTCTGTGTCTATATGTAATATTTCTTAGTGAGAGTGTTTTTATAAATGGCTTGTAAAGGTTTATCCATAAAGTTTTTATATACTGTGAATCAGTAGCTGCAGAGCATTTATATTACAGGTCAATGGGGTTACTTAAAAGTCTGTAACGTTTACTGATGTGTTTATAAACACCAATAATGTACTCTTTATGCCAAAACCAATAGAATATTTAGTATGCCTTTATCAGCACATTGTAAATGATAGTCTGTTAAGATAAACTATAACCTGATAGAATTTTCAGCAATGTGGTGAAATAGCTTTTTTATTGCATGTATAAATGGTTCTCTCTAAAACAACTGTGAGAGACAGCCTGGCTTGCACAGAAAAACCAGTGAAACATGCAGAACCTGATTCTGGAGATGGATAAACCCAGAATTTTCCAGCAGTAATCCTCTCAGCAGGCTCAAATACAGGATGAATGTGAGCCTTGCTCCATGCTGGATCAAGAGACCAGATACCCTTTTATTTAAAATGTCCAGAGGTGCTCCTGGGATCATCCTTTCACTTGTGTTTCATGACTGACTGTGCTGTGAAAGGAGGAGAAGCCACCAGTTATTGCCTGAGCCTGTTGTGTAGGAACCTGAGCTCAGCTCTGAGCTCCACTGTGGACTTACCATTGGTTTTTAGGAAAGTTGTGTTGTTGGTACTTACAGTGGTGAGTTTGGAATGGCCTCTCCTGGTCCAGTGCCTGAGTGTGGGATATCACAACTGCAAGACCCACCTAGATGGATCTTTCTTCCAAGGAATGTGCTGAATTGTGCTTGAACTGGCTCGGACTTTTTCCATCCGTAGGGTCCATTTAGAGCCTCTAACCCCCACAGCAGAGCATGGCAAGGGCACAGACAGCAGGAGTCTCCATTCAGGATGGAGACAGCCTGGTTCTGTGCATTAATCTTGCAGATGAACCTGTTTGACCAGCAAAGCAGGGAAGGAATTCTGTGTGTGTGTGTGTGTGTGTGTGTGTGTGTGTGTGTGTGCACTTGCCTGTGTCTTCTGAGCAACCTGGCCTAGGGGAAGGTGTCCCTGCTCATTGCAGGGAGGTTGGATTAGATGACCTTTAAAGGTCACTTCCAACCCAAACTATTCTATGATTCTCTCACCACCTCCTCCTCCTCAAAGCTGAGCACAAACACACCTCTAAACCAAGCGCTGCTGGAGAGCTTCAGTGGCAGTGTTCAAACAACCATGAGAGAATGGCTTGTCCAGGAAAGTGCTGGTGATGTGCAGAGACCCAAAATTATTGTTTATTCTGGTGCTAGAGGAACTACCTTGCAAAGAAAACTCGGCTTTGGCAAAGGAGGCAGTGAGCAGCCCCAGTTCTCAGTGTGCACGTTCACCACTTGCAAGGAGCCAGTTCCCAGCTCGTTTTGGAATAAGAGGCATCACAACATGTGATCCTGGTTCCTGTGTCCGTTGGGATAGGAAGGATTAGCTGTGGTTTGAGCCAAAATTAGTGTAAAAATCCCAAATAAACACTTGGGGTTTTTTTTCATTTCTGCTCTGGATCCTTAATGAAATTGCTTGTTTTTTCAGAGGTCGCGTGCAGAAATTATGTCAGTCTTTACAGATTTGGGTTTTGCTTATTTATTCTATACCAGTGGTAACACTCTCCCCATTGCTGCAGACAGAAACATTGCTGAGGAAACATGCATGGTGCAGGAGAAAGGCTT